TTCGTCTGGCCAGAGGAGAACTGGCCCCCCGACTGAGCCTGGTTTCTCCTAAGGTTTTTTTCTCCATTCTGATGGAGTTTTGGTTCCTTGCCGCTGTCGCCTCTGGCTTGCTTAGTTGGGGACACTTAATTTCCAGCAATATCGTCGACTTGATTGCACAGATACTATTTAAACTGAACTGAGCTGGACGAAGACATCACTGAATCAATGATGAACTGCCTTTAACTGAAAATTGAGTGTTTACTATATTACCTTTTGCATTATTACACACTATTTTTTCCTATTTGATACTGTAAAGCTGCTTTGACTTTGAATCTGTATTGTTAAAAGCGCTATATAAATACTTGACTTGAAAAGATTATGTTTGCGTGAATAGCCTACTTAAATACTGTAATTCTGTGTATATGTATATATTTATCGGGATCGTGTGCTGGCGGAAGCGCGATTCATATGTCAGTCAGCGGCAGGGTGAGAAGCGAGCAGAAAAAAGGTACTCCTCTCAGAAAACACAAATAAAGATCATTTTAGACGTTTAATCACTATTTGGAGCATTGGGATCGCTAGACGAGGGCTCATTTTTGTGAAAACCTGAAATTCGACCAAAATCAACATTTTTCACTTTTTTTTTGCCTGTAGCTCAAAATTAGACCATGCACATTCCGACTCATTTTGCCAGCACGGGGTCACAAATTTATGTCAATAACAGTCGCTCAGCTGGCACATACCTGCTGAAAGTGCGACGCCATCTTTGCTAAAGCATCACCTGACCTGTAATCACCATGTCACTGATGACTCCTGAGCTGTAGTGCTGACATCTACCGTCAGGCACTAACTGTCTATGCTAAACAGCCAAATCTGACCCCCCTGAGCGATGGTATGAGCGAGAAAGCTCGATTCTGACCCCGCGAACATCTAAAGTTCTTTCGCACCGGATGAGTTGCTGGCATGCTTGCGATTAAAGACTTTCCCAGTCCAATGCTTTGTCTTTTATTAATCCCTGTGCTTGCTTTGTAACCTTTAATTAAAGTTACAATGTCATTTTAAACCAACATCATCAGGGTATATTAGAGGCTGTAGCGTGCGGCCAGACTCGCGCACCCCTCCCTACGATACCCTCTCTTTCCTGCCAACTACTGCAGCGACAGATAATTACTGCACCTGATTTTAATGATACACACACAGGAGAGCGGCAGAGATGCGCGGTCCAAATGCCACCAGCTGTTCTGCAGTTGCATTGAATTAATTGGCTCCTGATGAGGAAGCGAATGAAAAAAGGCTCGCTCTCGCTCTGACTCGCACAGAAATGCAGACTACCATGATAATTAATATAGCTAATTAAGCAAGCACGGCTCAAATGGCACTTGGTAATTAATGCGGGGGTATTTGATTGTGTGCGTGCTTCTGAATTGACCGGGCTCCGATCTGTTGACTTGCAAACCTCGCCTGCTACATGCATGTAAGGTCGAGCTCAGAAATCAAAACTGGGTTTTCTCTTCTCTTCGTCTCCATGTTCAGGCATCTGTAATTACTCCTAATGGTATTAAGCAGGATAGGGAGTGATATATTATCATACGCAGCATCGCATGCTCTGGAGAGCGCTCTCGGATCACCTCCGCTGCGAGCAGATGGGGCTTGTGCAATGCCAAACGGAAGCACGGCCTGCCCTGTTTGCAGGGCAGCCTGGGTAATTTCCCCCCACCTGCTACCAGGGCAGAGAGATTAAGGCCAGAAACATACTTTACTTAAGTACGCAAATCACAAACGAAAACGCTTTGCCAAGCAGGCCCACGTCGGCCATATTTTACACCTGTCCCAACCAGGTACAATGCGATTTTCATATATTTCAGGCCTAACAGAGTGTAATGAAGCAAACAAGACGGGAGCGTTCAGGTGACCGAATGAAACCCTCACTGACGTCTGCACTTTTTCACTGCATTAAGACCGCTCTTTGACAGGTGATGACCATCTGCGGCTTCTCCATCCTGCGATGAATGTGGCACAAACTGGCGTTGTTTACAAATCCGGCAAAGACGGAACGACGCTCTTCTGCGAGTCTCATTTGCACAGGTGACTAATATATGACCCCTCACGATGTTGGGTGACATTGGCAGCATAAACAGGATTGAGGAATGGTTTCGATCATCTCCGTACCCTCCTCTACTTCGCCAAGACCGACCAAATGAACCGCTCCCCGACAACCCAATCTCACCCGACAAGCATCCCGCTCATAATATGCATGAGACCTGTCAGTCAAGCTGCTTAACAATGCCGGCGCATAATGAACTGCACGGCTGCAGCGGCGCATCCCAGTCGCCAAACAGCACTTCTGTCAGGCTCTCTGCTATAATACACTCATTTTGGAAGCAATCATTGTCAATACAAGTCAGCCTCGGGTTACAAAATGAGCCAGACACATGCACACGCAAAGCCAGCAACGTATCGGACATGGTGTGAAATCCAAGTTATGTACAAAAAGTGCTTACGCACCGGCAGAGCGTAGTGGCGTTAAGTTTTAGTGTCGCGGAAGTGCTGCGGGCAGACGCGCATATGCAATCTATCCCACAACCACTTCTCTGTCCCTGTGACAACAGCTAATTGATATGAAGTGACTGCATATGGCAGACGAGCCCTCGGTTTCTGAATGCCTCTTTATCACTCATCTTAAAGAGCACAGCGCCACATACAGCGGGGATCATTTTGTTAGCGAACATCGCTGTTGTGCAAATATATGAGTCCTCTGCGTTCTGCAGTAATAATGGGACGAGATGAATATGTATTTCACACTCAGTGCTAGTTCATATTCCACTTCACATTTCATCAAGAACCCAACTGAACACTCATTAGGAATAACACTCATCTGTTTATCGCCAAAAACAAACAAAACAAATTTGGGAAAAAAGGAAACCATTAACTTTACAACCCATTAAGCAGAGCTGTCAGTCAAGAGATGTGTGTTCATTTACAAAGAAAGAGGAAAAAAGCATTCAGTGAGATTAGATCTGGTTTTGAACCCTGAGCAAAATTTAGAAACGCATTGCCAACTGAGATTAAGGCATTGTGAATGAAATATCAGGCTCTTTTGACTTATGCCAGCAAGTAAGCACCTAGGACAGTCTTTCTTATCCCTGTTTTTGGAGACACGACAACAACTGTACACATTTTGTATTTCACCCTTACCCTAGCCATCCATGTCCGGTCTTGGTGTCTCTACTAATGAGTTGAATCAGGTTTGTCTGGGAATAGGGTTGGGAAACACTGCTCCAGTACCCTACTAGTGGTCCATTTACACATTTTCATTAGTAATATGCTGATTCAGTAACTCAAAACAGTAACTACAATTTATGAATGTTTCTGAACGAATGATTTATTAAAAGTCATGTACTTATGATTATAGCCTTGTGGGCAGTGTGTGGTTACACCTTGGGCAACAAATCCCAACTCGTGGTCCTTTCTGGCCCCGTTCCAATCTCTGTTTCACTTGGCAAAATTGATCAATGGCAGTGTGCCAATTTTTCTTTTCTTTATAGTGAACCACTTGGTAAAAAAAAGCCAAAAATGTGATTTGTGAATTTAGACTGCAATCATTTGCTGAAAAACCTGTTGTATCTTTTACATGCCTTCTGTTGTCTGATTGACAGTTTATACTACTACACTAAAAGTACTTACAGTATAATTGTAAAAATATCCCCCTCTGGGTCTCTTTAATGATTTTTAGAAAGTAATCTTAAGAACCATTTTTATAGTTAATAATATTTCAAGATGAACAGTTAACTTAGGTTTACTTGATTATCCATGCATCTTTTATTTTTTTTAGAAAAATCATGAGGATCAAATATGATACAGCAGGATTTTGAGGACCATTTATTTGTTTATCTCTCGATAATCATTGTATTCCATTATAATAAAAACTACAAATCTTTGATCCTAAAAATAAGCATTAAATTATCAACTTACTAAAATATGCTGTATTATTGTGAGATACAGAGTGACAACTAAAATTGATATGCATCTTTTGCAAGTATGCTGTACTATTATAATTATTTATATTACAAGCTATCCGAATGCCATCTTACTTTTTGGTCATATAAACAACAACATCTGCACCAATTTGCTCAGTTTGGGCTTTTGAATAAAAATAATGTGCTTTTTCTCCTTCAGTATGAGCTCCATATTCTTACTGCATCATTCTATATGAACCATAAGAGTCTGATGTATCAAATATGACACTCAAAAATTTCCCCCAAATTTTTAAGAAAGGTTTTGTCTAAAGGTAAAAAAAACAAAAAACATTTGATGTAGAAAAATGTAGATTTTTCTGACTATTATTCAATATGTTAAGGCTTTAGAGGCTTTAGAGTGCAGAATCAAGATGTTTTTCAATAAATATCACAAAACTAAGAAACACATTTTATGGCTGTTGTGATTCATAAGCGCTAAATCTTAAATGGAGAGCCCTGGAGTCTGATGACGAAGCAAATGGATATGTCTGGCAGTGTGAATTGCTGAGGTCACTCACGGTGGTATCCTGATTTCTTCTGCAGGAGCGTCACGGGACATTCTTTGTGAGCCAGTAAAAGCTGCTTCAGCTGGGCCACCTCGCTGCGCAGAAGAGTCACCTCATTCTGGACAGAGAGAAAGAAGCACGTTACCCGTCAAGATCAATGAGGAGGAATCAACAGAAAAAGATCACTAGCTCTTCTTCATTTAAGCTTTTTTGGGACACAATTATAGCTGCTTAATGGCAGAGTCCCAGGAGAGAGAAACACAGAGAGAGCGCTCCCCTCCGTCAGCGAAACACTGTCACCCATTCTGGTGAGATTTACTCTCGTCTGCCGTTAGGACTCCCATGGGGCTGTGCTGTGCTGTTCTGCATGCGCTAAAGACAGGCTGTTTAACAGCGAAGGTGACTTTAACAGGATTTACAGAGAGCCGAACAATAGTCTGGAGCTCAGCTTGACCACAGGCTATTATTATTAGTTACTGGAAAATAACTCATAAGGCTCAGGGGCTGTTAAAAATCCTAAAACAAGACGGGTGGACTGGTGTTCAACTGCCATGTCAATATCTCCAGAGCAGTGTGGCCAGCGGCTGATAGATAAATATTAACGGTAATAAACAGTAAACAGCCCAGCTTTCTGGAACGTGATTGATTAACTGAGGTCATTTTGTGGTCAAAAATGTAGCTTAAATTCCACCGTCGTTCCAGGCAAATGATTTCCCACGTGGCTGTGCTAGTTTCATGTCTGTACATTTTTCTTCTCATATAATAAGCAATTTCAAATCAGTATTTGATGTAGATTTATTTATTATTTATCAGGCGAGAAGTATATTATAACAAGCAGGAAAATGCAGTTGAAATTAATTATCACAAAATAAACCTTGACAGGGTGACAACAACCCTGATTGACTAAATCTCAAAATTTACAGCGTTTTTCAATTGAAATTGATAGTTTTTTCCAGGAAGGGTGCATTAAATTTATTAAATGTGACAGTAAAGACCTTTTATTTCAAATAAATTCTGTTCGGTCTGTTCTTTTGAAATTTAAATGTATCAAAAAAAACAACAAAAAAAAGCAACATGGTTTCCACAAAAATATTAAGCAGCACAACTGTTTTTAACTGATAATAATAATAAAATAAAGTTTTTTAAGCAGCAAATCAGCATATCAGAATGATTTCTGAAGATCATGTGACACTGAAGACTGCAGTAATGATGCTGAGAATTCAGCTTTAACCTCACAGAAATGAATTAAAATATAAAATAGATTTTAAACTGTAGTAATATTTCACAATTGTGCTGTTTTTACCGCGTTTCTTATCAAATAAATGCAAATGTTGGTGAACATAAAAGACTTCTTTTAAAGACATGAAAAAAAAGTAGTGTACATAAGTTAAGCCTTACTTGAAACAATTGTTTACTCTAAAATATCTGAGAAAAAAACAAAAAACAAAACAAAAAAAAGTACACTGGTACAGATGTCTCTTAATTGTCCAAAAAGACTAATTCTGAAAAATTCCATTAATTAACCTGTAATAGGTCAAAATATTCGTCTACGTCTAGATATCAGACAAACGAAGAAAAGAAGAACCATTTAACATGCTGGAATTTAGCTACAAGGTATTTATAATTCAAATGTATAGTCAAGTTATAAGTCAATAAGTCATAAGTCAATGTGAATCAGGCTGGACGATATGGCCAACATTTATATCACGATATATTTCTTAATTTCGGTCGATACGATATAATTCCGATATCGATATGAACACTATTTATCTGAAATAGAAATATTTTGTAACATTATAAATGCCTTTATTATCACTTTTGATCAATTTTAAGCATCCTTGCTAAATAAAAGTATTCCTTTCTATAATCTATTCCACAAATAAATCAATGTATGGGAAACTCTGGTAATGTATATCGAAATATCGGAAATGTGTTTAAAAATCATATCACCGTTACTGAAAAAAATGATATCGCGATACATATTGATATTGAATTATTGTCCAGTCCTACCGGTGAACTTCTAAACTGACATATGGCTTCAGGTACAGTTCTCCCATTCTACCTCTCAACAACAAAAAACAAAACATCAAACGAAATGTCTAAAATCGGATGAATCTCAACTGTCCCTTGTGCTGTTTTCAGAGAGATGGCGAGGCAGTAAGATCAGGCCATTAAAGTGTTTAATGTCTTCACAGACCGGCTGCATCCATAAAGACAGCACAGGGGGGATGTTTGGCTCGAGTGCTGCCGTGCGCTGGTCGGCAAACCCTGACACCTCGTTAAAAAGCCAGTTAAGGATGATCTTAACGTAATTGAGCATCATTAGAGCTCTACGCTCCGATCAGCTGGGCCAACGGGGCAGAGAGGGACAATTACACCGGCCCATCAGCGCTGATAAATGCGCCCGTATTAAACAGCTTCTCTCCGATGAAACATACTGTCATGCTCGTTTTCAGAGTCCCAAGCTTTCTGTTCTACACCCTTCTTCGCTTCTCCATCTGTTTCATGTTAGTTTATTCCTTCATATCACCCACAAATTAATCGCCCTTCCCCCACCCCGTCGCCAAACCACTGCGCTTTGTTTAAACGGACAAATAAAAAAAGACAGCACGCAAATAAACAGTGGCACATCTCATTAAATTGTCTGGAACGTGCCGGCGCCGAGCCGCACTCTCCGTTATCAGCAGAGACAACGGTTACGTGAACTGTTTCGAACTTGTCAGTGGCGGATCCTAATTGCCTGCTACAAAACGGGGGTTGAGAAAGAGACGGCTTTCCCTGGGAGAGTTCCAGGGCAGCTCACAAACGCTCCGACAGAACAGGCGACACGCTTGTGTGCCGATGACATCTGGAGGAAACGTCTTTATTGACAGGGCCATATCGATGCAGGAGACTCCAACAATCACGCCGTGGCTGTCATGCAAACACACTTCTTAATTTACATTAATGACTTCATCACCATCTTTGTCTGGCTCTCCAATGCACACGGAAATACACTGGAAGATGGTGTGTGTGTGTGTGTACCTGTAGCTGTCCGTTCATGCTGCTCAAGTCTTCCGCTTTCTTCTCCAGATTCTGCACCCAGACTTTCCTCTTCTGCCTGCAGCGAGACGCAGCCGCTCTGTTCCTTTCCAGAAACTTCCGCCTCTTCTCGTCTGGGTCCTCGCTGGTGGTTCTCCGCCGCCGCCCACCTGTGCTGGAGGTGTGCTGGGCCGGAGACACCTGCACAGGCCCACAATCAAACACGAAGACCTTTTAGAAGAATTAAATCAAGGGCTGCACCTGCCAAAGCTTGACGAAGACAGAAATGTACTAGACTTAAATGCACCACGGAAATGTGTGTTGCGCTTGATTAGCGGTTTTAAAAATATGAATAATTCTCTTTTTAAATTTGTATGTTTTTATGCAATCATTGGTAACACTTTACCATAAGGTTGAATTCGTAAACCTGCATTAGCTATCATGACATTACAATGAACAACAATTTCTTAAGGCATTTGTTAGTCTACACATTAATGCTACTTTATACATCTAAACTACCATTTAAAAGGTAAGCAAGTTTTCAAAATGAAAAGAAAAATTATTTTAATCAGCAAGGATGCATTAAACTGATTAAAAGTGACAGGAATTATACACCGTTACAAAAAATTCTATTTCAAATACATTTCTGTTAAATAAATAAATAATGGTTTTCGCATAAATATCGAGTAGAGCGACTGTTTTCAGCATTAATAATTAAAAAAAAAATTTGAGCAGCAAAACAGCATATTATAATGATTTCTGAAGGATCATGTGACACTGAAAACTAGAGTAATGATGCTGAAAATTCAGCTTTGATCACAGAAATAAATTACATTTTTAAATATATTAAAATAGAAAACATTTTAAAATGTAATATTTCAAAATATATCACCGTTTTTTATTGTATTTTAGATCAAATAAATGCACTCTTGGTGAACACAAAAAAACTTTCATAAACTCTCCAAACCCAAAAGTTTGAACGGAAGTGTACTACTCTTCATTGTTAATTCATACTAGCTCATAATCCATTACCTACTGTTAAATTTGAAATATTAAAATTATACAAATTCATAAAAATTAACATCAATCGTTAACCTGCTGTTCTGTTAGTTACATGATACCTAATTACTTTCAGGATTATTTGCAAGAGGCATTTAATAACACATACAGGCGTTTCTGTGGTGGATGTAGCCGGCTGCTGTAGTGACTGTGGGCGTGGCTCATCAGCTGGAGGCGGGGCCGGGGGCGGAGTCTCACTGGCCGAGCTGCTCTGGATGTCACCTGCATCGCCGTTGGTTACCTGAGGGATCTGCTGACTGAGGGCCGCCTTCAGCTTCTGCAGGTCAGAGGTCAGGTCAACATCTATTACTAACTTCTTTGCAAGAAGAATATATCTAGTTTTATCTGCTTGCTTAGTGTTGAATTTCACATCGATCTGCCCTAAATGTCACATTCAAAACACCAAACTGTGATTGGCCATGTTAAATGTCAGTCGGAGGGCCCTTCCTGATTAAATGGGCGGTTCTGGCCACAATGAGCTGCAATGCTGCAATGTGCAACAGACTGAAATCTGCCTATTTGCATAGCGTTTAACATAAAACCTCGCTCTCTTCAGCATGTCGGTCTATAGTTCCAGCAGCGAAATGAGGAAAACATGTTGCTATCTCTCTCTCTCTCTGGGATCAGGAGGCTAAACTACATTAGAGAGAGGCGAGAACTGAAGATTAGAATAATTAACTTCTGCGGAAAACCAGAGGCAAGGATTAAAACAACATATTCATCACAGCTTTAAACAGATGCTTCCCTCAGAGCTCTTCCACAGGAGTAAGAGCTGTCGTAGCTAATTCCCTATTCCCTGGAGATGCCTGTGATTTTCTCTTGTCAGGGAAATCTGCCTTTCCCTGGCGTACTGTAGCGTGTGCAGCACAGAGACCTCAGCGCCAAGAGCTTTTCTCTTCACTAGGAGCAACCCCCGATAATGACAACACTAGGGTTTGACGCAGTTTCTCAATATTTTTTCAGTATTTTGGTGATATTGACTCAATAGCCACTGCACTAACACTGATTCAAAAGTTTAAAGCAGCATTAAAATTATTTATCAAATACATCTAAATAATTTACTGAAAATTTAATTTTATTTAATTTAATAACTAAATTAAATTCATTAATAATAAAAAAATATATAATTTTGCGACAATGAAGTGTTGATTACATGGAAGCTTTAAATAAGTAAAACAAAAAATAAAAATAAGAAAATAAAGCTAAACAAATATTTTTAAATAAATATAAAATAATTAAATTTTTACTATTTTTTTTTAACCAAAACATTTTACAAAAAACATGTTAAAAACCACACAGGGACTTCTGTGAACATTTGAGCAATAATGAAGATAAATTAGTGCTGTCAAATGATTAATCACATCCAAAATAAAAGTTTTTTTTACATAATACATGTGTGTGTACTGTGTATATTTATTATGTATATATAAATACACACACATACAGTATATGTTTTGAAAATATTTACATGTATATATTTATATTCCTATAATTTATATTAAATATATTTAATATATAAAGATAACATCTTTTTCTTACATATAGACATGCATGTGTGTGTATTTATATATACATAATAAAAAAACACAGTACACACATATATTATGTAAACAAAAACTTGTATTTTGGATGCGATTAATTGTTTGACAGCAGTAAAATAAATCAATAAATTTAAATGTCTAATCCTCATACAGTTTGTGCAGTGTTATCTTAGCATTACTGAGACACAATTATTGTTTTTATTATTATTTTGAATACGTTTTTATATTAGTTATATTTTCTGTTTTCGCTTTAATTTTAAGATTGAATAGGTTTTAGGTTTCATTTTAATTTTAAGTTTTAGTAACTGTTTTTTTGTCATTTTTTATGTCTATACAGATTTCATTCATTTTTATTTCAGTTTTAGTTATATTAGTACATCAAGTTAAACTAAATTTAGTTTATTTAGAAATGATACCTTGGCAACCCTCTTATATATGTATATATAAAATCACACTAAATATGTATTTTAACATTTTATTTCAGTTAATGTGAAACAAACACAAACAGAAATCCAGTCTTCAGAACGACAGATGCCGAGAAGTTGTATTTCTCCATAGATAATTCAGTAGCACTTTATTTGACAGTCCTGTTCCTCATGTACATACTATGTACTTATTATGGTAATTACAATAACTAGGTACTAACCCTGAACCTACCCCTAAACCTAACCCTACCCCATGTAGTTACCTTATATTACCAGTACTTTCTTAGGTAAGTACACTGTAGGTACACTGTAAGTACTTGTAAGTACACATACTGTAAAATAAAGTGCAACCGATAATTCTTCTAAGCTGACTTGGTTTTTTAAAAACCCTTTGTAGGAAACCATGTGGCCCGAAAGCAGTCGAGCGCGTGAGTTAACAAACGCCCCCCACAGCAGGTGAGGTGTGTAACCATTGCCACAGGCACGGAGGACGCATTAATTTTCATGAAAAAACAAGAAAAGAGCATTATTTTAACAGCCATCCTCGGCAGACCAATCTATCTAGCAAATTAGTTTATAGAGCAACACCCTTCCCGAACTCCACGTTTCTACACGACTAGAAGGAAATTATTCACGTGGAATGAGTCACGGAAGGGCTGAGCGAACGACTGAAAGAGAAAGAGAGAGAGAGAGAAACAGAGGGACTGTGAACGATGTGTGCGGGGCCAGTCAGATCCATATTTCATATCTGCCATCGGAGCCCCATCAGAGCAGTAGCCCTACATCTCAAGGGCTTTATTCAACCATCTGCTCCTTTATTACTTATCTTTATTTTGCAACTAATTAACAGCATAATCTTCTAAATTCAGCAAGTTAATTATCATTATTGTGGTCTTTGCAGCATCATCAGTCCTTGTAAAGTGCCGTGTCTGTGTGGCAGGGGAGAGAGAGAGATGAGGGGGTGTTTGCTTGATGAGGGCTCATTAGATGTTTTAGATGAGTTGAGGTTTTGTGCGTGTGCTTCCTGTAGATGGAGGTTATCTGGAAGGTGTATGTGTATGAATATGGTTTATGTGCATATGTGAGTATGCTGATGTGGTGCATGTTATGAATGTTTGGTCATGGGGTAGATGTGCATTCGTTTGGATGCATGGATGCAAGCAAGTACTTATTTGGCCATATGCATATAAATAAATAGCTTAAAAAATAAGTAAATTTTTATCAAATAAATGCGGCCTCTGTGAGAATAAAAGACTTCTTTGAAAAACATAAAGAAATCATAATTTCTCCACACTTTTGGCTAGTAGTGCATGTTCAAATTTCTCTACAAACATGGAAATAGCTGATCTCTAGATTTCAAAGTTCATGTCAGCATCCACTACTCCAACAGTCCAGCCAGATGCCCTCTTGTGCTCTTGTACAGGAACTACACAAAGCTCAATGTTGTTGTGTCAGTGTTGTGGACTGTACATCCTCAGTCCCTCTGGGCTGAAGGAAAATCTGCTTACACTAAAACATGCTTGCAAATGAGGTGCATGTGGATGCATATGTAAATAAGCGGGGCAGAAATGACCATCTTGGCTTCTGATTGGACAGGCTGTGGAGAGGAGGGGCCAGGGATTCCAGGGACACTAGGCACTAAGGTGACTGGTCTGACAAGCTGAAAACACACAGACACCACAGAAAACATCAATGCATTGTCTCCAACACACTTAATGAGAAAAATAAAAGAAGCCAACAAAACTAAATAAGACACAAACATGCCCCTCATTATCCCACAAACATACATATCTGTAGCTAAGCGGCTACTATGAACAATGTAGTTACTTAATAGTACTTAAAGGGGTCATATGACGCTGCTAAAAAAGAACATTATTTTGTGTATTTGCTGTAATGCAATGTGTTTATGCGGTTTAAGGTTCAAAAAACACATTATTTTCCACATACTGTACATTATTGCTTCTCCTCTATGCCCCGCCTTTCTG